CGTGCAAACTTTTAACAATTCCTTTCTCTTCAAAAAGGATACAGCCATTTCACGTCAAGTGGTACATTTCTTTCAAAACCTCTTAGATTATCTCCATCTTTTGCCAACAAGTACGAGTTGGTGCATGACTGGGAAATCAAAAGAGATTAACTCAAAAAACGGGCTGGTGGCAAATTTAAACTGTTCCGAAATGTGAAAAAAACAGAGAATTTGTGAAGAATGATCATCTTTGGGAACTTGTATTCCTTCAAATTCATAATAAGTTACCTTAGTCCTGACTTCACTGAAAAGCCTGCCTCCTGCAGTCTCAGAAAGGTGGTGAGATATATATATATATTAATAAATCCAGTAAAGGTCAAAATAAAGACCTTTTTTTAAAGAACATTTTACTTTTATCTTGCTAAAAAATATTAAAATCACAAAGTGGTATTCTGGTGGTAGAACGAATTACGATGCAATTAGTGGCAGAAGAGCACATGAGAAGTAATCACGTAAAGCACCATTTTGGAGCCTCTAAAAGCTAGCGAATCCTGTTTTAAGTGAAGTATTAACAGATACAGTTATATATATACAACACACCATAAATGCAAGACTTCTACTGGTCCAATCTGATTTTCTCTTGCTAAACTTACAAAAACCTCAATGGTTACTTTCTTAACTTACATTGCCTTATTCTTTCAGTAAATCGTTTTGAACAGAATAATTGAAACTTTGTAGTAGTCGGTAGTAACGAATATTTTGTCACCGTTTCCACCGCGGTGCGTTAATATGCGATTCTGCAAAAAATTTCGCAATATGGGTACAATGAGGGTCTATGCAGAGATGCCAGTAAACAACTAAAAAGACTGGAATCAGCACAACTGTAATATACTTAAGAGAACACTCTGCGACTTCCAATACTTTCTGCAGTCTCGCTTCGGCACCAGACTGCTTTACCTATGATGCATTAGCCGTACATTTGTTTTAACGCAAATAGTTAAGCTTTCTGAAGTCCTAATTTGAGGAAACTTATTCATTTTTTGACAAAGCTGATCACAGCAAAAAATTCATGAGAACTGAGAATCTCATTTTTCACTTTTCAGATTTCAGAGTCTCAAGAAAATCACACTTCTTTGCAAAATAGCAAAAAAGGAAGCCCCTGTG